TGAGCGGATTTCCTTTTGATTTAACCTTAAATCTGATTGAATCAAGGGTCCTTTTTCTTGTCAATGTTTTCAAGCGTCTGGACTCTAGATCCAATGTGTTTTTTTTTCCAGTGGAGAGTGGAAGTTCAAAACGACCCAAGTGCTATCACACTCAGCATTTTTCACTAGCATTGATCAAAAGTCAGATGGAGAGAAAATGGAGTGATCCTATTAGTTGAGACGGGAGGTTGTCATAGACTAGGGGGAAAGTGATGACTATTGAATCTCTCGTGAATTGCCGATAGTTAGTCTATTACTTACCTCCTTTGTCCATTACAACCAGGCCCGCCACATCCCACCTCGGGCCCTGGTACCAGTTTTAAGGTCCGGGCCCCAAGCACGGAGGGGGGGTCCGAGGGGCATCCCCCGAGAAATTTTAGAATTTATACGACTAATCGGACGCATTTTGAAGCTTCCATAAGGAATTTTTCCATCAATTTCTGCGCAATAATTATGTTTTTTTTTCTACTTTCAGCACGAAATACTTGCGAATCGTTGCATTCGAAACATCTGGAAAATTTTTATTTTTTTTGGGTGGGGGCATATGATACTATTTTCAGTTCTAAGAGGGCCAGGCCCCCCTGGACTCCCCCTTCGTTTGTCTATGGCAAAGGTGTTGAGCCATGAGCCATTGAATTCGAGGATGCCCAGACTGGAGACTCTTAGCATCTGACGACGGAAGAAAATGAAACGCAGTTACTAAAAATATCCCTCTGTACTGAAAATCTTGAAAATAGATGGAAATATTCCAAGAAGTTTACTTCTTTGAAAATTTAAGAAGAATTCTACAGTGCCCCAGCGTGTTTCTAAAAATCTATTCGCCTTTTGCGAAATTTTTAGAGTAAATTTTTCACTTTTTCTTACGAAACAAGGGTTGCATGTGAATTCGTAAAGGTTTTTCACGGGTAACATAATTGGTAATGAGTGGTTTTTCTAGGAGGATTAAAAATAAACGAGTGGTACGGAATATAAAAAATGAATATGAACTATGTAAAACGATAATCCGGGTATCGGAACTTGACTGATTTGAAAACGCCTTCAAATGCGGCGTGATACCTCCACATTCCGGAGAGTTCAAATAGTTGTATCATTGCGCCGTAAGAATGTGACGGAAGATTTAAATGGAGATAGCCTCCATGCACGCTTGGCTTTTTGATTTCCTCTGACATTTTTGCAGTGGTGAATGCATAGCTGAAGTGCGCTCAAGCTAGAAGTGTATTTAGCAAATGGGCGGTTTTTATAGGAGGAATTTAATTAAACAAGTGGTTAGAAATGGAAACAAAATAATATGAACTATGCAAAACAATTATTCCGATCACGGAACTTGGTTGCTTCGAAAACGCCTTCAAATGCGGCGTGATACCTCACGCATTCCGGAGAGTTCAAATAGTTGTATCATTGCGCCGTATGAATGTGACGGAAGATTTAAATGGAAATAGCCTTCATGCAGGCTCGCCACATCCCATCTCGAGCCCTGGTACCAGTTTTAAGTTCCGGGCCCCAAGCACGGGGGGGGGGGGGTCCGAGGGGCATCCCCCGAAAAATTTTAGAATTTATACGACTAATCGGACGTATTTTGAAGCTTCCCTAAAGATTTTTTCCATCAATTTCTGCAGAATAATTATGTTTTTTTTTTCTACTTTCAGCACAAAATACTTGCGAATCGTTGCATTCAAAATATGTGGAAAATTTTTATTTTTTTTGGGGGGGGGGCAGGGACCCAGTATCTTCCCCTTGTGGTCTTCTTTCTTGGTCTTTTTTCTCTATAGTGTTGTTTGTCAACTTCAAGAATCACCCTGATTATTGTAATTGACAAACAAAGCTATAAACAAAGACGACATAGGGAGTACGAAGTGATCCTCTTAGTTGCAATGGGTGATTCCTGTTGACGAAGGGAGAAAATGATGGACTAATACTAAGTGGTCTCTCGAGGGCTGCCTATTACCAGCCTAGTCAGTCTATTACCTGCCTCCTTTGTCCATTGCAACCATTCGCTGCACCAATAGGATCCTTTCATATCAATTTTGTCTTCTTTGTCTATAGTTTTGTCTATCGATGTCAATAATGAGCCCGCTGATCTAGATAATCACGTAAGTATGGCTAAAACTGTTTATGAAATTGTTGAGCATGACAGAGAAAAACCAGAGAACATTTAAAAAATATAAAGAGGCTGTTTTTTTCTCTTGAACATCAAATATGACAGAAAATTTGCAACGTCGCACTTTGAATTGTGTTCTCAGTATTTAGACCATCGTCATCTAGAGGACAAAAAATAACGTCGAATAATTTGCGTTCTTGCCGATGTTCTAGTAACCTACTACGATGCGACGCGACGCGCCTCACACAAAGCTCGGGCAAGAAAAATAAAAACGCCTTCAATTTTGTGAATATGCAACTCGGACATCTCTGGAACACGAATAGTTGCATCAAGCCGCTGGCATCGATGTAATACATAACGTGCGTCGGTTTCTATACTGAATAAAGGTGCCTCGTTTTGTTCTTGCGCGTCCCATGGTTTTTCTTTTGATCCTTCTCCAGTTTTCCCCCTTAATTTTTTCCTGTTGGTAGAAAACAGTTCAAAATTTCCCTTAATGAAGGAATTTGAGGATCCTGGTTGGTTATACTCATACTGCTATTCTTCATCCCAGAAAAAATTTGGATTACACGGAAAAAATCAAATTGCTGATTTAACAATTCAATCGCTAAAAAAAGTGACTGCCGCAATGTTTCAATGTAGATTTTACATTTAAAAAAATGCTGCTTTTACCACCTCCGTGGTTAAATTAGCTTACAATAGTGGTTAAAGTAGCATTTTTTTGTTGTGAAAATTTAAAGTTTTGTTTATTTTTGTTGTTGAAATATTGCAGTCACTTTTTTAGCAATGGAATTTTTAAATCAGCAATTTATTTTTTCCGTGTAGGTACATTTTGCAAGTTGAAACTGATATTTCCGTTTCTATTAGCTACTCGACATTTGTCAAATAATATAATCGTTTTGCCCCTCGATTTCTGGGCCTTGGACGACGATGACATATTTTTGGAGATCGTTCATTTTTCATATCCCTAGAAGTCGAAGAGGTCTTTTTTGTCACCATTATTGAATTGCATCAATTTTTGGGGGAAAATAAAAGCCATTTATTTATGGCTTAAAGATGTTCTAAAACAGTCGGGCAAACAGAGAAAAAATCGTAAAAAATTTCAAGAAGAAAAAAAGATTACTTTTTCAAATCACACCTCGCACATAGCCAGGGCAAGGAATCCGAAAACGCCTTCAATTTTAGAGTATGCAACCCTGACATCTTTGGAACACGAATAGTTGCATCAAGGCGTTAGCATCGATGATACATGGAGTACGTCGGTTGATGTACTGGATGAAGAAACTACGTTCTCTTACCGTTCTATGCCTGTTCGTGTTGATCCTCCTCCTATCTTCATTTTGTTTTACTTATTAGTTTCCCTTTAGACATATGAGGGGCGAAGAAGACAATAAGGGCATGAGCGCAGCTTTTGAAAAAAATTGAAACATTAATGATTTTAAGTAAAATAGGTAAGTCCTAATGCATTTTCTGTGAAAAATTCGCTCCCAAATTCCAATATTTAAGCATCAAAAGATCAATTTGAACTTTCTCTCCGCCTTAAGGATCCATTTAATTTCGAAACTTCAAACACTTATATCTCGAGATAGCAAAAATTATGCGCCTTGTCCACTAAGCCCCTCATTTAATCAATGAAATTCTAAACAAATAATGCGGAATATCTTGCATGTTAGGCCATTTCAAACCAATTCATTACTGTTTCCTAACTCGAGGGTTATACTCACTGAAAAAATGGAATTTTAAAGCATCAAAATGAGAGTTTAAACTTTCTCTCCACCATGAGGATCCATGTAATTGAAGCACTGGGTGCAGGAACGGCATTTCTTGGTTGCAGTGTCCCACGATCTCCATTAAGGTTTCATCCACTATAATTAAAGCAAATGTATGAGATTCGTTAAAATTTTTACTGGATTTCCTTTATTATTTTACAATTCTGAGGTACGCATTTCCGCACTTAAGCCCGAGAAACGTGAAAAAAGTTCTACAATTTTAGGTGACTTCCCGGTTTTTTCCGATTATAGTCTCTTGCTGGCAGATAGACGACATCTTCAACAACACGTTTATGCAGCTAACTCAAAACTGTCGAAAATCGAGATACGCACTTCTGCACTCTCATCATTGAAATGTATCTTTACAAACACGCCGGAAGTTGTACCTCCTAATGGAGATGTTGCATGTGTGAGGGATTTGCGATTTGACCATTAATTCTTATGTAAAAGTTCGCGAGAAACACGATGGTGTCACTGGTTTTTTCTGAAATCATCTCCCAAGCTCAAAAAAAGCTCTCAAAGTGAGGCCAAAATGGAGGCGGGGCTATCCTGCCCTACCCTGAGAGTCCACCTCTACATCAAAACAAACTCTCCATGCAAAGATAGGGAGCAAATACATTAGCAGGGTTGCCACTTTATTTGGGGACTCCACAACTGAAAACACGGCAACCCTGCTAATGTATTCGCACCCTATCTTTGCATGGAGAGTTTGTTTTGATGTAGAGGTGGACTCTCAGGGTAGGGTGGAATATTCCCTCCATTTGGGCCTCAACTTGAGAGCTTTTTTTGAGCTTGGAAGTTGATTGCAGAAAAAACCAGTGGCACCATCGTGTTTCTCGCAAACTTTTACATAAGAATCAATGGTCAGATCTCAAATCCCTCACAGATGCAACATCTCCATCGCAAAACCGATAGTCCTGTTGGCCCAGTCCACCCCCAGATCATCCAGGCACCTCAAATGCACTTGCATTCTGCATCCAATCACTCCACACATCAGACGAAGCGACGCCAGCCCCCCTCCCTCTCCAATGATCGCGGTCAGCACCGCGCGCGGCGCTATGAGACGCCCAACCTTGGCGTCCGGCGGCTTCGTCAGCACACATGAACACAGTCTTCCTCGCGCTTTCCAAGCATCAGCATCAGCATCCCGTTGCCATAGTAACCGCGTCGCGCACTATCACTCGCGAATCACCCGCACGATTCACCCTATCATGAGTTTCCCGCCCCCGCTACATCGAGTCTGATTAGCCACTCCCGCGTAGTTGATTGGTGTAGGAATTTCCGGTACCGCGATCCTCATCGGATTTCAGTGTTTTTAAGTGTGGATCTCATGTGTTAGTGCTAGTTGTGTGGATTTTCAGCGCCCAAGGAATTCCTTTTTTCAGGTTTGTCATGAATAATATATCTTGTGATTTTGAGAGCACTGGGGAAAAAAACACATTGGATCTAGAGTCCAGACTCTTGAAAACATTGACAAGAAAAATACTCTTGATTCAATCGGACTTTTGCTTGAATCAAAACGAAATCCGCTTAAATTAAGAGGCTTGGTTCTTGATTTAAGCTAGATTCTGATTGAATCAAGAGTACTTTTTCTTGTCGATGTTTTTAAGAGTCTGGACTCTAGATCCAATGTGTTTTTTCTTCCAGTGAGGAATTGCAAAATTTTCTGCCTTCTTTTTTAATATCTTTAAAAAAGAAGGCAAAGATTTTTACAATTCCTGTTTTTTTTTTTTTTTAGATAATCATCGTATTATCTAACGTTACCCTGTAAATTTAATGCAAATCGTTTGGTTTTAGTTTTAAACCACGTAGATAGGTACAAGGAAATACTTGTAGTAGTTACGTTATATTTAAATAAAATTCCTTCAAAAAAGGGGGGGGGGGTTTCCGGGTGCATGGAGAAGGTGGAGAGCAAGGGTGCACAGTCCGTCACCCTCCGGTCTAAGTATCAAAAGCGTCATGTGACGTTTCAAAATTTCCACCTCTATTTTATTTTTTTACAGAGAAATTTTTCAACGAAGCTGTTCTATAATTTCACTGAATTTTCTTTCTGCTGACAATAAAATTCGGTGAAATCTTCAAGCAGATTCAACCGATAATTTCTCTGTAAAAAATGAAATGGCGGCGGAAATTTTGAAATGTCGCGTGGCGTTTGTGATACTTTGGCCGGAAGGAGACGAGCCGAAGAATGGAACTTAAATCAAGGTATCCACATTCTGGGAAAACCGTGATGTGCATGATTGGCCATGCTGCTCTTTGTCAAATTTGAATTAAGGATTCCTTTTCTGAAAGGCGGGGGGGGGGGGAGGAGATCTTTTTCGAACTCTACGACTTTCACAGATCTCGAGGATATCAGCGATTCTTAAATTGAAAAAATTAAATGGAAAGATCCGAATTTTAAATTGAAATGAAGGATTTAAGTTCAGAATGATCAATTTTGCCAAAATACACGTGATGAAATAAAGAATGACCGTTTTTGACGTCTTAAAGCAGTAAAATGCTCATTTTAAAACCCTTTTGTTACTTATTTCTAATATCAGGAAAATTGTAAGAAAAAATACTAAGAGCTCCAAAGTAGCATGCTTGGGTTATAATGGACATGCGTGTGATTCCAAAAACCCATCAGGATTCATGTCTCTGCGAATAATTCAGAGCCCAAAAGGGCAGCCGCAACCTTTGATTTCGAATGAATAACTTTTCTCGTCCCCAGTTAGGGGTTTTATTTTCCTCTTAAAATCAAGATTCGTTCGCGAGGGCTTAGAAAAATCATCTGAAACATGGGTTTCAATTCATCATTCACATGTTACTTTGGGGGGGTTGGCTGCCCTTTCGGCCCATTGAATCTCAATCAAGTGACGTCGTCCATCCTTTCTCCATGAGAGTACTCTCCTGACTTTAGCACGTTGGGCACTTTCATAACAAGGGCTAAACTTTTCTCGTGACAATTCATTATTATAGAGTTTAATTGGCAACAGTGTCCTCATAGCTGATCCCGTGATCGAGAGAACTGCTCCGCCGTGGTAAAAAGAAAAAAAAACGCCGCATAAATACGCGAACGTTGCCAAACTTCCTTCAATAAAATGTTTATTTTTAAGGAGAGCTACGAATATTTTCTCTTGATATTTTAAGATGATTTAGATCTGATGGCGAATAAAATTCTCTGAAAAATTGAAGGGAAAATATTTACAAATTACCGTGGAAATTCTTATCTTATCAAAGGAAACTCAGCGACGCCTGAAGGCTCATACGACGTTCTTCTTCAGCACGGCAGTGTTGTTCTTGCACGGCGCGGTGTTTCAATAACAGATGAACTTTCCGCTGCGACCTTACGCGGAGTGCCAAAAAACTGGCCCCGCGTTAACCAATAACCTTGCCTCCGGTCTGCGTCGGATCGGACCACATCAAGCGCGCGCCTCCGTTTCTGTAACATCAGATCCGCAAAATCTTTGCTACTAAATCAGTAATCCACCAACTGATTTCATCACAAAGTCAATGGACCACTAGACACTGTTCACACGGTACGAATTTAAGCATTTTTCTTCCGATAGGAAAAAAGTAAAGAAAAAAGAGAGAGGCGGGATAGATAAAATTACCATTGGTCACACGAGAACACATCGAAGTGCCTTTATTCGGTACAATAACCGACGCTCGTGATGTATCGTCGATTCCAACGCATTGATGCAACTATTCGTGTTCCGGAGATGTCCGAGTTGCACATTCACAAAATTGAAGGCGTTTTGAATTTTCCTGCCCGAGCTATGCGCAAAACGCTGCGTAACGTCGATTACAAGAAAGTTGTTAGGGATCGCGAATTATTCGACGTTATTCTTCGTCCTCCAGACGTCGACCTATCGATGACTAAACTCCGAGAACACATACTTCAACTTGCGACCTTCGAAATTTCAAGTCGTATTTAATTTTTAAGAGAAAAAACAACTCGTTTTTATGTATTGAATTTTTATCTTATTTTTCTATGCTAAGTTCAACTACTTCATCAAAATTTCAAGCCGTATATAATAAATTTTATTTTCTAGCAAAAAATCTGTATGTTTTAATACTCGGCGGCTAAAAATAGATCGCCTGGAATTCGTGAGATGGGAAAAACGAATAATCTACAAAATTTTGTCATCTCCGTCGATGGGAAGGAAAACAATCTTGAGTTACATCGAAAGGAATTTGGCATCGCCTGCAGCTTGATTGTTGAAATTTATGTCGGCACGACAAGAATCAAAAATTTATATATTACATAGCGCAGATAGGGCTATGTCTTGTCTTATCGTGCCGACATAGCCAGTTAAAGTTTCAACAATCCGGCTGCTGAAGGTTCATACGGCGCCCTTCCTTAGCATGGTAGTTTGGTACACACGTGTATACTTGGGTCCTATTTGGCTATTGAGGCGGGTCCCTAATACATGAGTGAAAAGACTAACAGAAACCCATGGGGTAGTCGAAGTGATCTAAGGAAACCCTAAGAGCTCCCATGTAGGTGGCTCCCTCAAGGTTTTCATAGGAACGTGGGTCAATGCCCAATGGTTTCTCATGGGGACCCGTGCAATATTCCCATGGGAACTTTCTGACAGTGTTGGTTGCCTAAATCTCGATCAGTTGCTAATAAAAAAAACACCTGCGATTTGCTTACCTTGGATCTTTCTATCTAGTGGTCCATTGTGTGACATTATCCAACGCCTAGCCTATTAATATCCTCTTACCGCATACAGGTATTGAATAATAAGCGTGACTAGACCGTTTAGCTGTTGTTTTTGCCTTAAGGTTTAAGGCGTGGAAAGAGGAGTGACCGGCTAGTGTAAACAGAACTTTACCGGCACAGCAGCGAGAACAGAGAGAGATTTGCAGGCGATAGCCTAATTAACAGCGTATTTCGTTGTAATGATACGCCGATAGTACCTAAACGACGTCAGTTAAGTGATGAATGGCCGGTGCAACGACTTGCAATGCGCCAGTGCCAAACTTGCGCCACTAACTACTTGTTTACTTTATAAAAATAATATATTTTACCAGAAAATTGTCATCGTTGTGAACAATGTGGTTATGTTGTGCACAGTCAGTGCTGTCCTCACTTTAACTATCGTAGAAATATTTTTAATATTTTTGACCATTTTTTTTTAAAAAATTCTCTGCCTGGTTGCAGAGTTGCCTTCAAATCTTTATAGATTTGCCACCACGAACTTCAAATTGGTTTCCAATACGAATTCCAGACAAGCATTCGTCAAAATAAACTTTTTGTGCTGCTGTCGATGTGACAACACTGTCGTAGGGATACTTAATCATCGCCGTAACTTAATATTCCATTCGTGACTATCAGTGCACAGGATCGCTCCAGTGAGCGGATACAATAGTCGTGCAATATCTTGCACATCGGGATTCTCTCGAATTCAATTTTTATAACGTTTCGATTATAAACTAGTTTCACTTATTCTAACGATGAGCCACTATTTCAAACTAATTTTAGAAACAAAATACGTGTCATTAGCTTCCCTATGTAGATAGGTACTTCTAGAGACAAGCTAGAAATAGGAGCTCATTATTCCAAAATGCATAGTCCAGACAAAGGCGCATGCTGATATTTTTTGATAAATCCATACTTCATTCATACAGGGTGATCCAAAAGTTTCTCACCACCAATACCCCCGTAAAGACAATTTTGAAAGTCAGCAAAACTGTTTTTCCTCAATTTTCATCCCTTTAAAATATCTGTTCTGGTGAGGCAAGCTAGCCGCTGCCTCACTAATAATCGATTGTTTTAACTACACTTAAATAGAGAAAAAACAGTGTTGCCAATTTTTAAGAATCGTCACTGTCCCTTTTACTTTTGAACAAATTTATACAGAGACTTGAAATTTTGTGAGGCTTCTAGCAGTAGCGTGAAATGCTTTGCGATATATCGATTAATCTTCCATTTAAACTTATGGAAAAGGGTCGATAAACAGGGTGTTTGCAGTGTGTTT